CTCTCTCTCTCTCTCTCTCTCTCTCTCTCTCTCTCTCTCTCTCTCTCTCTCCTCTCTCTCTCTCTCCTCTCTCTCTCTCTCTCTCTCTCTCTCTCTCTCTCTCCCCCTCACATTCTCCTCTCTCATACTCATACTCATATTCATACTCTCTACTCATACGAAGTACAATATTTCGACGTCTAAAGGAAGTAGGACTTTTAGGACGCTGGTGTAAAAAAAAACTATTAATTAGTACAAAAAATAAGAAAGCTCGATTAGATTTTGCAAGGAAATTTGAACATTGGACTGAAGTTGATTGGCGAAAAGTACTTTTCTCTGACGAGTCAAAGTTTCAGTTTTTCGGAAGTAACGGTAGAAGGTACTACATGGGCTGAAAAGTCTTTGGCTTAACAATGAAAACACGATTTTTTTAATGAAAAATGTGTTTTATTCCTCGACATAATCTCCATTTAGAGTAATGCACTTAGTGTAACGGTCCGCTAACATTTCGATGCCGGTCTTATAGTGCTCGGTGTCAAGTCCCTTCAAATAGGCATTTGTTTCCAACTTGACCTCCTCATTCGAGTAAAATCTTTTACCAGCGAGCCACTGCTTCAGTCGGAGAAAAAGGAAATAGTCGCTGGGGGCTAGGTCTGGAGAATACGGGGGATGCGGGACCAAATCATAGCGCAATTTCTTTAATTTATCGGTCGTATCGCGAGCCGAGTGAGCTGGAGCATTGTCTTGGTGAAACAAAATTTTTTTCTTTGCCAAATGTGGCCGTTTGACCTTGACCTCGTCGTCCAATCGATCCAGTAATGTACAGTAATATTCTTTATTGATAGTTTTACCATGTTCAAGATAATCAATGAATATTATGTTATGCGCATCCCAAAAAATACTGGCCAAAACCTTACCGGCTGATTGTTGTGTCTTCGGGCGCTTCGGACGGCTTTCACCAGGCAATAACCACTCCGCTGACTACCGATTGGACTCCGGTGTGTAGTGATGGATCCATGTTTCATCCATTGTGACAAATCGACGCAAAAACTCCTTCTTATTGCGGTTAAACAGGGCCATTTTGCTTTGAAAGTCGAACACGTTCCGCTTTTTGCTCAATTGTCAAAAAACGCGGCACCCAACGCGCGCAAAGCTTTTTCATGTGTAAATATTCATGAATGATATGACCAACGCGTTCCTTTGAGATGCCTATGATGTTAGCTAGCTCTCTCAATTTCATTTTGCGGTCATTCAACACGATTTCACTGATTTTCTGGATGTTTTCTGGAGTAACTGCCTCATTTGGCCTTCCTGAACGTGGTGCATCATTTGTGCTCGTACGGTTACGATGAAACTCAGCAAACCAATATTTGATGGTTGAATTCGGTGGGGCAGATGTGCCGTAACATTTATCAAACCATGCCTTTGCTTCAACAGTGTTTTTTCCCATCAGGAAGCAATGTTTAATCAAAACACGAAATTCACTTTTTTCCATAGTAAAAATAAATTCAGAGGTAACGTCACTCAAAGCTATAAGCTTTGTACACGAGTCAACGAAATATCATGAAATTTTTACAGCATCTAAGTTAAGGTTGGTACTCTATAGGAAATATAAGGATTTTTAGTTTGTGGCGCCATCTATATGTCAGGCCAAAGACTTTTCAGCCCATGTAGTATATACGACTAACAGGCAGATATAACTCAAGATACCAAATTTCTACTGTAAAACATGGTGGAAGTAACGTGATGGTTTGGAGATCATTTTCTTATAATGGAGTTGGTCCATTGATGATCATGGATACTATGGACGCTATAATGTATCGAGATATATTGATACAGCATATGCTGCCATATGCAATTCGAAACATGCCACGTGGTTGGATTTTCCAACAAGATAACGATCCTAAACGTTCATCAAAACTAATAAAAGAATTTTTCATCATGAAAAAAATGCGAGTTCTTGACTGGCCCTCGCAATCGCCGGATTGAATCCTATTGAGCATTTGTGGTAAGAACTCAAACTACGTACAGGAAATAAGAAATCCTCCAATAAAGCTGAATTATGGCAAGATTTGCAAACTCAATGGCAAAATTTACCTTAAGATCGCATTTCTAATTTAATAGCATCAATGCCTCGCCGTTGTGCTGCAGTGATTGCTTCTAAAGGCATGGCAACAAAGTATTAAGTTTAAAAAAACGTTGACAACATTTTCTGTTATTTTTCAATAATATATTTTTCTTATGCATAAGAAAACCTTATGCACAATACTTTTGCACTGTTTGTAATAAAACATTGTATAAAAATAAAGTTTAGAATTATTAAGAGTTTGTAAAGTTTATATAATTGTAGGACAAATAAATACATTTTGTTTATACGTATATATGTGTAAAGTTTTTAGCGCTTATTATGAAATGAATATATAATAGTAATTGTGTGGCTCAAAAGTTTTGCACGCCACTCATTCAATATTTTTTATATATTATATAAAATAGTATATTTTTTAATAATTATTTTAATAAATAATTTTAATGTCTATTTTAATTAAAAAATATTTTTTTATTTTTCATACAAGCCGTGACTTTAATTAATTTTTTAGTTAAGGTTTTAAAAATAAAAATTTTATTTTTATAATTTTGATGTTTAATTTTTTAATTAAAATTTGTTTTTAGTCTTTTATATAAACTATAATTTCAATTAAATATATATATAATATAAAAATATATATATAATTATATATTTAATTAAATTGCTTATGTTTAATTTTATTATTTATTTACAGCTTTTAAGTTAATCACATTGGTACGATAAAGAAAATATAATTTAGGAATAATTTAGGAAACTCCGTGATTTAGATAACTAGTTTCCAAAATTTACCTTACAGAGGTTTTAATAAAGACATGTCGGCAGATGTACAAAAGATCGCAAAAAATTATAGAATGTCGTGAACAGATCAAGAATAACTTCCAATTAGTCTTTATCACATTTTTATTAAATATTTGCAAATAATTTTAAAAAATTAAAAATTGGTACAATGTAAGCAATCTTCCTTTATTTATCTATGTATATTGAAGCAGTTAAAATTAAACTTGTGATAGCATATAGAGCTTTATGCAGGATGTTTGGGAACTCACATATAGCCATAGATAATAAAAGTATACAGCTGATTAAGTTAAATATAAAAATCTCATACAGTTTTGCAATATTTGTAATAATTATCGAGTTGTTGATTATGGAAATCTGACGAGTGAGCACGTGTTGAGATGAATGATTGGAGACGCATTGTAACCACTCGGGCAAGAGAACGGCTCTGTCGATCTAACAATTATTGCTGACATACAGAAGGCAAACAGGACAATACGCTATTATTCATGTCTTATCTCGCTACTGCTATGTCTCGCGCATTAGTAATAGTTGCTAGATAATTATTACGAATATCGCAAAACGGTATGGGATTTTATATTTATTTTAGTCAGTCCTACTATTGGCTGTAGCTATATAAATTAAACCAAACATTCGATATACATGGTGTCTGACGCAAAATATATCAACTCGCGCGGTAAAGCACGTCAACCTGAATATAAGGATCACTGTCATTTTGTAAACAACCATATGAAATTTCGAGTTATTCATAAAAGAAGATTAGCAATTACTGATTTTGAATGTACTGACGTTCGACAATGTGAGACGCATTCTGTAGGAACGAGCTTATAAAAAATGGTTGAGAAATTATTGTCTCTTAACGACAATCTAGCTACGAGCTCGTATTAGCAGCTAAAACTGGAGCAACGATGCGAATAATACACGGACAATTGTTTTTTGATATGCAGGCTATATATACAGGGTGTTTGAGAGCTTATCATGCAGACGAAAGTTGAAGATAGATTGAGTATAGCCGAGAAGAAAAGTCATGTACCATAATGTCAAATTGGCAATAGTTATCGAGTTATTAATTAAAACATGTGAGTCAACGAGCGCGTAGAGAGCGACCGCAGTAAGCACGTAGACATTTGATACAGGCAAAGTCAGCGAGTGACGATAGGCGAGCGCGCGCGGCGAGGGGCAACGTAAGCGACAAGAGGCGAGCGTGCGTGACGAGGAGCGAGCGAGCGCAAGCGACAAGAGGCGAGCGAGCGCGAATGACGAGGAGCGAACGAGCTTTTTCTTTATAGCTTTTTCCTTATAGCTCTCTACGCGCTCGTTGGCTCACATGTTTTAATTAATAACTCGGTAACTATTGCCAATTTGACATTATGGTACATGACTTTTCTTCTCGGCTACACCCAATTTATCTCCAACTTTCGTCTGCATGATAAGCTTTCAAACACCCTGTATATATAGCCATTTTCGGTTCGCATCTATAGAACGCATCCCACAGCGTCACGTACATTGATTCATTAATCTTCTTTTATGAATAACTCGAAATTTCATGTGGTTGTTTACACAATGACAGAGGTCCTCGTATTCAAATTAACATGCTCTATCTTCACATGCAGATTGATACGACTTGTGTCAGACACTCTATGTAAATAAAGATGACTTGATAATTAGTTCATAGACATAAAGAGAAAGGTTTTAATAGCATAGATATGCAAACTAAGTCCTTGGCAATATATACATTGCACATGCACGCGCACCGACACACTAATAGCGAATTCGGGACGCTTGCATTAGAGCACATTGAGTGCGACTAAGGCCTGTCCACAGTCCGTCCTTATATGTAAAAATCGTCTTAAATATATCTTCAAATATTTTTAGCTAATCAAATTATCTATATAGCATCTGTACAGACAATTTGACTAGTAAAAGGTATTTGAAGATATATTTAAGACGATTTTTAAATATAATAACAGACTATAAACAGGCTTTGATAGCACTCGGTACGCACTAGTGCAAGCGTCCCGAATTCGCTACTAATAACCAGCAAGTACCCTAATGTGATAACACCATGTGATAACAGACTTTACGATTAATTAAGTCAAATATATTCCAACACTGATAGTGATACTTATTTATGGTCTAGGAAATGCACCTGATTATAGTCAACCTGAAAATAAACTTCATATTATGTCATCTTCGAGCGTAGCAAGTACCTTTGGGCTTAATAAAAATCCACAAGGAGGATTTGGTTCATTCGGAATTGTTTCTGGAACTCATGGTAATAAACTTACAATTAGTCCTAGAAAATTATCAGAATATCTAACTAAAAGTATATATAATATTTATGAAATATTTATGAACATCTAGAGGGCCCTAATCCAAATGATGGGACTAGAACTATCGCTACCAATTCTTGGTCAAATACTGGTCACACTGAAAGCAAAAGTAATACCTGGCCCTTTTTGCATACAACACCTCACACTGGATTTCATGTAATAAATACTATGTTTGGAACAACTAGAACTCCATTTGACTATGTAAACACGTCAGGTTCATCCGATGGTCTTTACAGACCGAAAGGACCAAAACCAATCGGTTTCGATGTTGCAAGTAGTAATATAACTACAAATGCTAATACAAATGCGTTTGATACATCTTTTGGAAGATATAATATTCCTGGTATAACACAGACATTTATCCATAGTACACCATCGGTTAATACGAAAAGTTCAAGTTATTCCGCGGTTAAAAGCTCTACTGAAATCACTAGACCTACTTATGGACTTGGTTCTCATAATACACAGTCTAATAGCGGAACTGGAATATGGTCTAATAAACAACCTGGAGACGAAAGGGGAACATGGCTTGGAAAACAACCTGAAAACGGTGTTGAAATTAAGTCTGACACACAACTTAGTAATGGAAGCGCACTATGGCCTGGTAAACAACCATTTACATTTGAGGGGTATTCTAGAAGCGGAGTCGAAACTTGGCCTTACAGACAATCTGAAGATGGAAGTGCAATTATGCCTAGCAGATATCCTGAAAGTAATAGTGGAACTTGGTCTGGAATAAAACCCGGAAGTGGAATTACATTGGGTGATCATTCCGCGATCGGAACCTCACCAGGAAGGCATCCTACAGACGTAAATAGTAATTGGTTTACTCAAAAACCTAGGATTGGAACTTGGCAAGATGGACAAATTGAACACGAAAGTAGATCTCGATGCATGAGTGGAAATTGTGCACCTACTGGTGCATTTAGCGGAAGTAGCAATTGTGGAAGAATTTATGATTGCAGCAACGGTTGCAAAGGAAATAACAATGTCTCGATGAAACATGGATCATGTAATGAAGTAATAAATGGTCCCAGCGGTGTTAATAAAACATATTATCCTGCTGGAATAAACAATCATGTTCCAAATATTGCAAATATATACGGACCAAGTTCATCTTCTACTATCAGTAACGGGATTCCTACTGAAGTTAATACTGGATGCAAAAGTGAAGACAATTCGTGTAATCAAGGTAACGAAATATACGTTCATAATAATTAATTTCTGTTAATACTAAAAAACAATTAAATTTTAGGCAACACAGGTGTAACACCAAGAGGTCTTATTCAATGGAATTCCGCAAATCCATTTTTATATGGATCTGTAGGTACGTTAATTATACATAGGTATATATTTTATATGGATCTGTAGGTACGTTAATTATACATAGGGTGTCCCAAAATTATAATACATCAACTCCATAGAGGTGTAAAACAGTGATGCCAGAAACGCAATCCGGTAGCCCAACATAGCGCGTGAGGGGTAGCGCACACAACGAGCGACTTCGTGTCCATGAGTTTTCGGTGCTTCGGCCGGCGTCGGACTTTGGACGAGAGCAGACGACGTCTGTTGTCTCTGTCTTCGCCGAGCGATACATATAGCTAATTCCGCCGGCCGCGGGAATCCCGCGCTATAGACTTCTTTTGTTATTTCGCCGCTCGTAGACCTCCTTCACGTAATTAGAAACATTATAAAATAATTCTTATGTCGTTCAGAGTATGCATTATTAAAGTTGTAGACATTATAGGAATATTGTATGAATAGTAGATAAATTAATTTTGCCTGAAAGCGCCGAATTTTCGTGTATTTGAAAGATATTTGCTATATTTCTGAGTACTACATTCAAAGATGTGAAAAATGCCGGGCATTATTAATGTTATATAATTATACAATGCGTCACACACGATAATAATAATGCCTAGCACTCTGCAGAATATCCGTAAACGTACTCAGAAATACACCAAAAGCGTTTTGGAATAACGAATATTTTCAGATTTCGGCCAGCATCTGTTACTTTTCTATTGAAACACACAGTGCTCGGGAATATTAATTTGTTTAACAACCGCGATACAAGAACGGTTGTGCCCCTTAGCATAGTCTAGTGATTATATTGCTTGATTATATGGCTACATTTCTATATCCTGTTTTTCATACTGTCTCTTATTACATAAATCAAACGTAAAATGCAATTTAAAGTAAATGCAATATAATTGCAATATAAATGCAATATAAATATTTATTCGTTACAGAAACGATATAAAGGAAATAAAGTATGAAGGATAGAAGGAACAGAAATAAGAAATAAAGAAATCCACTCTTGGTCAACATATGTCATTTTCGTAAAAACAATTTTGGTAGCTATTGAAACACTTACGTATTGTTTATTCAAACAGAATTAAATAAAAAATGAAATGAAATGATATTTGCTATGTAAAAAATATTTCTTCTATTAATATATGTATTATTTTGCGTGTAACAACTACATGTAGTAAAAATTAATAAAAAATGTAGTTTCGCAATAATTCTACACATATATTAATAGTCTATGTACATAATGTTGCTCAACGGAAACCACGAGAAGGTAGTCTTTTCCGTCAGAAGGAAATGTAAAACATTAGTTTCTCTTAATATTGCATTAATTGTTATATGCATATAATCTTCTTATAATATAACATGTAGAAATAAAATATGTTATAATATAAAAAATATGTTGCGATATAAGAAGGAATACAATATTAGAAAAAAAAATGTTTTGCATTTCCGAAAGTTGGGATGAAGAATAGGAGAGAATAGAGAAAGGATAGGAAGACAGAAATAGAGAAAGGATAAGAAGACAGACTAGATAGAAATATAGAAAAAAAGGATAGAAAAAGAGTAAAAGGAACTACAAAAATAAAACATAGATAGAAGCGATAGACAGAAAAATCCCAGGCAACACGGACTTTGAAGAGATATACTAAAGAAAGCCTAAGATGTCCAGAGGACGTTCAACGTCCTGAGGACATCTTTAGAGCATTTCCAAGATGTCTCTTGGAAGTTATGTTGTCTCGGATATAAAGAATAGAACATAGAAAGACACGCAATGCATAGAGAGTTATATTAAGGTCACTTTACACGATGTATACTTTAAGACAGAATTCGGAAAATATTGGATTTAGAAAACAATAACATACTTGGAATAATTATACGATTGGCACGATACGATTGGAATAATTATGATAAAAATAATAAAAATATACACATTTAATAATAATACACATAAATAATAAATATATAAATATATATAATAAATATGTACACATTTAAAAATCATGTATTGTTAGCTACAATATACAATATATTACATGAGTAGATATATAACCCAAATTTATCGCGAACAATATACAGGGTGCACGATTTATCTGAAGACATTGAAATATCTCGAGAGCTATGCATTGGATAAAAAAAAGTGGTAAATGAAAGTTGTTAGTCTTGAAGGGGGACATCCAATGATACCAAACTCGACCTCCCACCGCACCTCCTGGGGGTGGGGGTTGGGGGCAACTTTGAAATCTTAAATGGAAACCCCCATTTTTTATTGCAGATGCGGATTCTACGCCACAAAATACGTAAATTTTGTCCGAAACTTTTTTTTTGATTCGTGATAGATGGCGCTGTAATCGCAAAAAATTATATTTTCCGCAATTCTCCAGAAATGATCATTGGATTGAGAAATAAAAAATACCTGTTCAATATTTTTAAAGAACATAATAAAAGTTATTCCCCCCCCATCCTCTCGGGGTAGAGTGGGTGGTAACGTTCAAATCTCAAATGGGAACCCGAATCGAAGAGGGAACTGCTCGACGCGCCACTGTGGGTGTATGGCGAACTACGGCTTATTATAAAAGGCTTATTATCCCGCAGATATACTTCTATCCTGTGTACAGTCATTTGAAAAAAGGATCGATAAATGTATTGAAGTTGAAGGTAAAAATTTCGAACACTTGCTCTAATTAATTGAACAGTGAGAGGCAAGGAGACTCACATTAAAAAAGCACCCTGATCTGTGAGAGGCAAGGGGACTCACATTAAAAAAGCACCCCGATCTGTGAGAGGCAAGGGGACTCATATTAAAAAAGCACCCGAAGGGAATATAAAACTACTATGTCCTCGTCGTTGTTCCTGTGTAACGCTAAAAGTAGTTTCTCGGAAAAATTCAACGCTATCTATCACAAATGAAAAAAATTGTTTCAATAAAAATTTCACGTACAATCTAATTCTACAATGATAAATATGGGTCCCCATTTGAGATTTGAACGTTATCATCCACCCTACCCCGAGAGGATGGGGGGGGAATAACTTTTATTATGTTCTTTAAAAATATTGAACAGGTATTTTTTATTTCTCAATCCAATGATCATTTCTGGAGAATTGCGGAAAATATAATTTTTTGCGATTACAGCGCCATCTATCACGAATCAAAAAAAAAGTTTCGGACAAAATTTACGTATTTTGTGGCGTAGAATCCGCCAATAAAAAATGGGGGTTTCCATTTAAGATTTCAAAGTTGCCCCCAACCCCCACCCCCAGGAGGTGCGGTGGGAGGTCGAGTTTGGTATCATTGGATGTCCCCCTTCAAGACTAACAACTTTCATTTACCACTTTTTTTATCCAATGCATAGCTCTCGAGATATTTCAATGTCTTCAGATAAATCGTGCACCCTGTATATTGTTCGCGATAAATTTGGGTTATATATCTACTCATGTAATATATTGTATATTGTAGCTAACAATACATGATTTTTAAATGTGTACATATTTATTATATATATTTATATATTTATTATTTATGTGTATTATTATTAAATGTGTATATTTTTATTATTTTTATCATAATTATTCCAATCGTATCGTGCCAATCGTATAATTATTCCAAGTATGTTATTGTTTTCTAAATCCAATATTTTCCGAATTCTGTCTTAAAGTATACATCGTGTAAAGTGACCTTAATATAACTCTCTATGCATTGCGTGTCTTTCTATGTTCTATTCTTTATATCCGAGACAACATAACTTCCAAGAGACATCTTGGAAATGCTCTAAAGATGTCCTCAGGACGTTGAACGTCCTCTGGACATCTTAGGCTTTCTTTAGTATATCTCTTCAAAGTCCGTGTTGCCTGGGATTTTTCTGTCTATCGCTTCTATCTATGTTTTATTTTTGTAGTTCCTTTTACTCTTTTTCTATCCTTTTTTTCTATATTTCTATCTAGTCTGTCTTCTTATCCTTTCTCTATTTCTGTCTTCCTATCCTTTCTCTATTCTCTCCTATTCTTCATCCCAACTTTCGGAAATGCAAAACATTTTTTTTTCTAATATTGTATTCCTTCTTATATCGCAACATATTTTTTATATTATAACATATTTTATTTCTACATGTTATATTATAAGAAGATTATATGCATATAACAATTAATGCAATATTAAGAGAAACTAATGTTTTACATTTCCTTCTGACGGAAAAGACTACCTTCTCGTGGTTTCCGTTGAGCAACATTATGTACATAGACTATTAATATATGTGTAGAATTATTGCGAAACTACATTTTTTATTAATTTTTACTACATGTAGTTGTTACACGCAAAATAATACATATATTAATAGAAGAAATATTTTTTACATAGCAAATATCATTTCATTTCATTTTTTATTTAATTCTGTTTGAATAAACAATACGTAAGTGTTTCAATAGCTACCAAAATTGTTTTTACGAAAATGACATATGTTGACCAAGAGTGGATTTCTTTATTTCTTATTTCTGTTCCTTCTATCCTTCATACTTTATTTCCTTTATATCGTTTCTGTAACGAATAAATATTTATATTGCATTTATATTGCAATTATATTGCATTTACTTTAAATTGCATTTTACGTTTGATTTATGTAATAAGAGACAGTATGAAAAACAGGATATAGAAATGTAGCCATATAATCAAGCAATATAATCACTAGACTATGCTAAGGGGCACAACCGTTCTTGTATCGCGGTTGTTAAACAAATTAATATTCCCGAGCACTGTGTGTTTCAATAGAAAAGTAACAGATGCTGGCCGAAATCTGAAAATATTCGTTATTCCAAAACGCTTTTGGTGTATTTCTGAGTACGTTTACGGATATTCTGCAGAGTGCTGCTCTCGTCCAAAGCCCGACGCCGGCCGAAGCACCGAAAACTCACGGATACGAAGTCGCTCGTTGTGTGCGCTACCCCTCACGCGCTATGCTGTGCTACCGGATTGCATTTCTGACATCACTGGTGTAGAGTTAAACGAGAGGAATGAAAAATCTTCTT